GCGCCGTGGCCGAGGAGGCGCAGCGGCAGTTCGGCGAGGCGCTGCGCGAGTGCCGCGAGCTGGCGCGCCGCGCCGACGACAGCATCGCGCAGGCCGAGCGCGCGCTGGGGCTCCGCGCCGAGCACGGCTCCTACGTGTTCTGAGGGCGCGCGCGCCGCGGCCAGTAAAGGTGGCGCCTCGCCGAGTCCCCGCTCGCTGCCTCTCTGGCGCCGCTCTCGTGTCCGTGTCCCGGCGGGGACAGGGTGGGACGGCGTGGGAAGAGGGGCTTGGAGCGTGGGGCGACGGGGACGACGGAGGGGCTGGAGCACCGATCGTGTGAGGAGAGACCGGGTCCCGGGCCCCGTTCGGCCGGGAGAGGAGAAGGCTGCGAGGGACCTGGCCGACGTGTCCAAGCGCCCGCGGGAGGATGGAGGGACGGCGCCCGTGGCGGGACACGGGCACGGGGTGAAGCACAGGCGGTTCCATCTCCACGGGAGGAAGAGCTGCTTTACTGCGAGGGCGCCCGAGCCCGGGGACAGGCTGCGGAGGCTCCGGCGCTGGGGAGCTCCCAACCCGCCTGGGTGCCCCTGGGCGCCCCGAGCTCTGGGTGCTGGAGCAGGGCTGCACTGGGGGATCCCTAGAGCTCCCTTCCGACCCCAGCGCTTCAGGGCTCTGGGATGTACTGGTGCGCGGGCAGCGTGAGGCGGGGGCGGGCGGGCAGCGGGTGCGGTGGATGCGGCGGGTGCAGCGGGCGCAGCGGGCCGGGCCGGCGCGCCCCTCCGCCGGGCGCTATTCCGGCATCCCCCTGACGAAGGCGAACATGCCGGGCAGGTAGACCGAGTCGCTGGCCCTGCCGGCCGCCTCCACCGCCTGGCACTCGGCCTCGTCGCGCTGCTTGATCTCCTGTGGGCAGAGCGCCAGGGCGCCGTGAGCCGCCCGCACGGCGGCGGCACCGCTCCGGGCGGCACCGGGCCGGGCGGCACCGGGCCGGGCGACACCGCTCCGAACGGCACCGCTCCGGGCGACACCGCGGTGGGTGACACCGCTCCAAAGGGCGGCACTCCAAATGGCACCGCTCCGGGTGACACCGCTCCGAACGGCACCGCTCCGGGCAGGACGTGCCCGCGGCGCCGCGCCGGCCTCACCTTCACGGCCAGGTGGTGGCTGGGCCCGCAGTTGTAGTACTTGTCCAGCACCTTGGGCACATCGCTGCGGTCGAACTTGAAGCAGGCCACGCACGCCGGCTTCCTCTGCGAGGCAGCGCGCCCGTCACCATCTCGTGCCCGTCCCAATGCCCGTCCCAATGCCCATCACCGCGCTCCAGGCACCCACCTTGTTTTCCACCACCCGGCAGTTCTGCTTCCTCGGGGCTCTCTTGAGGCAGTTGGTCTGCGCCAGGTTGAGCCGCAGCCGCACGAAGGTCCCCGCCGAGTCCTCCTGCGTGCGGGGCAGGGGGTGTGAGACGGGGGTCCGGCGGGGTGAGACCCCACTGCCGCGCAGGGGCTGTGCGGACAGCGCTCCCGGCCCCGCGGGGACGGCCGGCCTTGGCCTGCGCGGCCACGGGCCCGGGGCCAGGCGCCCGGGCGGCTCGGGGGGTTAATGAGTAGCCGGCCCGGCCAGCGGCGGCC